TGTTGTTTTTCCCATTCGTTTTACTGATGTGCACATGAACTTGCATGCATTAATGAAATGCAGTACTAAAAGGAATACTGATGTAGTCATGCACGAATCAGTGATCTGTATTCAGATATTGACTAATCATAATTGAGTGATACACATTGGGACAGAAAATACCAAATTCAAGTATAGGCTAATGGGGTCTGAACTTACTGAGACTGAGAGGGGAAAAGATCTTGGGGTCATAGTGGATAGCTCAATGAAAGTGTCAACCCAGCGTGCTGCAGTGGTGAAAAAGGCAAACTCTATGTTAGGGGGTTTAGAAAAGGAATTGAGAATAAAATGGCCGATATTGTAGTGCCCCTGTATAGCTCTATGGTATGGCCTCATTTGGAATACTGTGTGCAGTTCTGGTCACCATATCTCCAAAAGGACATTGCACAGCTGGAAAAACTACAGAGGAGGGCAACCAAGATGATTAGGCGGTTGGAGCACCCTCCCTATGAGAAAAGGCTGAAGAGTTGGATTTTTCAGTTTAGAAAATAGATGACTAAGGGGAACATGACAGAAGTTTATAAAATTATGCATGGGGTAAAGAGAGTTGACAAAGAACTTTTTCCTCACTCTCCCAGAATATTAGAACTCAAGGGCATAGATTCAAGACAGACAAAAGGAAATACTTCTTTACACAAGTGATTAAAATGTAGAGTCGCTGCCAGAGGATGTAGTGATAGCCACAGACATAGAAAGCTTTTAAAAGGGGGTTAGACAGATTCATGGAGGATAGGTCTATCAGTGGCTACTAGCCATGGTAACTAAAGGGAACCTACACATTCAGAGGCAATAAACCTCTGAATACGTGCCAGCAGGTAATATCAGGGAAGACCTCAGCCTCTATGCCTTGTTGTTGGACCTCCAGAGGAACCGGTTGGCCACTATGTGAGACAGGATGCTGGACTAGATGGACCATTGGTCTGATCCAGCAGGGCTCTTCTTATGTTCTTATGGACAAAAAAAATACCCTGTTTATTAATAATCAAAACAGACAATGCTTTTGCCTGGTACATGACCAAGTGATTCAGACAACACCTGCCTGAGTCACTTGGACAGCATGCCAGTTAACTGAGCTTTCTGGTTAACCAAGGGCTGGTTAATAAAGCTTTCACTGTATGTAACTGACCACAGTGTTTTCCAGTCAGCAGACCGGAATGCATACTTTGCTACATATTTAAAGATAATTAAGCAAAAAAACAAGTTTTCATTTGGAAAACTAAAATGAACTGAAATGGGGGGGGGGGTAATTGCACGCACCCACATTGTGTGATTGCTTTAAGATTTATTTCTTGCATTCTATTTCACCAGTGTACACAGGCATTTATGTGCACCAGTGGTCTGGACAGGAGGAAGGACACAGTGAATCAAAGAAACTGGAATGCTGGGCTTGGGCTTTTTCTGTGGGGGCATTCATATTTTGGCTGATGCCAGGGCTTTTTTGGCATTTCGGTGCTGCTGTAAGACTGTACTATTAAAAGGGGCTTTTAATGTGACTTGATCCAGTTGGCACTTAAGCTGGTTTCATTTGTGGCTTTTAGTCTGTTATAATAACAGTTTGTATGTTTTAGACTTTTTGTCTATTTTTTGTTTGGTAGCCTACCTAGGGTCTTTTGGGAGAGAGGTAGGCTAGGAATTTATAAAGTAAACAAACCTTTTAGAGCACTGCTAAAATGACCTGAAATCTTTTTAAAAATTCAGATGGATTGAGAGGTTATATTCTGTATGAGAGAGAGAGTATGTGAGAGAGACAGTTGAGACCAGTGGATGGAGCATTGGACTTGGACGTGGGCACTGATGTGTGCCTAGGCTACCCAAGCATGTGCTTAATGGGTGTCTCTGGAAAGCCATTATTCATCAGGGTCCTAGCATCATTTTCAAAATGGGAATACCAGCGCCCTACCCCACAGGGATGAGGTGGAGGCAAGCTTGATAAGAACTATAAAATTCTTTGTACATTCAAATGTGATATATAAAATAGTAGCAACTGTCTTACCCTTGGAGTCATTGTCTTAGAGATGTGGGAAGCTATTGTTTTACAATATCCTGGTGATGCTACCATCTTGCTGTTCTGGTTGACCTTCACAGTTTCCATTTGCCATATTTTCCAGCTGACCTCCATTGTGCTGAAGTGATTTTAGGGGCAGCCAGACCTTCTTCTCGTGCTTCATGTCAAATGGGTTGCTCTTGAATTCTTTTTCTGCCGTGCAAACTCACTATGTCTTTCACACTGTATATAGATATTTATATATCTAAATATCCTCTGCCATTGCGGTGAGCATCTTCGCAGGTGTGTTGTTATGTGATTGAGGTTGCTTTCTTCTGAAACCCTTTTCATATTCCATTTCTTGCTAAATAATTCCGTTTCTTCAAATCAAAAATGTGATTTCAAAAATTCATCTTCAGCTGGACTAGCATTTGGTAGGAACTACCTAGTTCCAAAGCCAAGTCCAAAGACAGTGGAATCAAAGTAAATCTATAGGTCTTTATATATGACTGCAACACCTGATATTTCAGAGCCTGTCTCTTGTGTTAAAGACATGTTTAAGAGAGTTCTGGTCAGAAAACCATCTCAGTTTATTGACTTCTTCCTTTTCCGTCTGTCTTGAACTAGCTGTTTTTTTAGCTGTTGTGCATGTGCGTGATGTCTCCGTTGTGGCTGTGAACCTGTGGTCCTGGTGGCAGGCTCTCGGGGGTATTAGTGGGGACTGAAGCTCTCTGTTTATCCACAGAACAGATACAGCATGGGAAGAGGCCGTGCAATGTCTCAGTTTGCCTAAACCCTGACTTGGAGGGACCACCACTAAGAATAAGAGGTTAGTTCAGTGTTCCTCCCATCAGAAGGTTAATAACCAAGGTGCTCAGTTAGTACTGACTGTGATGATGATGTTGGCACTCTTTTAAGTTAGAACGAATCCATTCTGCAAGGATCATAAAGTTCATTGCCAGCATCTCTCCAAGTTAGGTTTAAATTGGAAGGTAAAGACTCACTGTGGTGGGTCGAAAGTGCCTTCAAGTCACAGCCAACCTGTGTGGACCCTGCAGGGTTTTCAAGGCAAGAGATGAACAGAAGTGGTTTGCCATTGCCTGCCACTGTGTTAGCAACCCTGGACTTCCTTAGTGGTCTCCCAACCAACTACTAACCAAAGCTGTCCTTGCTTAGCTTCTGAAAACTGCACATGTTCATCAACTATCTTAGTTCACAGCTATCAGATTTTCTACTTTCTGATCTCCAGCAAGCGTTTAGCAATGCTATGTGACTCTTGTGTCATTTTTTGTGTTCTCAGGCTAATATTTATTTTATCCCCTATAACAGATTTCTAGCTAACATTTTCATTTTACTGTACAAAACAATACACAAGATAGCTCTTTCTACAATATAGTGCGGGAGTGATTTTTTTGGGTCTATATAGGTCATCAACTTCATGTACCTGTCCATGTCCCTTGGTTGTACAGGGATAAGTTATCTAAAAGGTTGTTACAAAGAAATAGCTTAGGCAGATATGAACACCAATACAGCAACTTACATTCCAAGTAGGTATCATTGCTAGAGAATTCAGAAGACCACAGATCCATCATATAACATTCTAGGCATGGTCGAAAACATCTGTTCTTGGTCTTTATAGGGAAGAAATATTCCCTGGACTTAATATGCTTAACACCTTGAAAATCTCTTCTTATCCCTTTTAGCAACAGAGCATCAATTTATGTTTTCTTATTGTGTGATGTGGCAACAGACATTTGCTATGGGGAAGATTATTGATAATTTCTATGAAGATAGCCAGTGAAATCAAACTGATAATACCACCATCAATTGCCAAGCTTCCTTAGATAAGCTTGTTTCTTTTTTTGACTAATCAAAATCTCCTAAAAATCTGGAACTTCACTACCACTCTGAGCTTCCCCCAAAAATCTTACCGTTCTGATCTACTCCTTGACATGCTACATAAAATTCAAGCTGACTTTTCTTGGATTTACTGTTTCTACATATGACTGCAATCTTTCTATACTCCTAAGTACTCAGCACATAGTTGATAAGTTTACTGTCATAGGCAGATTTTGAACGATGTTAACTAGGCAATACAAAGAATCTATTTCACCTCCTCTGTCCAATCCAAAGCACTTGCCAAGTCTTGATGACTGAGATTTTCCAGTTCTTGGCCTTCATCAGAATGACAAGTGCTACATCAGGTGGAAAATCTGTGACTGGAATAAATCAAGGTTTTGGCTGCCCACCCCCATATTTCAACACTTTCTTCCACCATGGATGGAAGGTCCTAAGCCAGATTGCTCATGGAAATGAATGGTCTTGATTTCACATCTTCTTGACTTTCATAGAGAGCATGACAGAAGAACAGAGCTGCAGGTCTTCACCAAGACTTCCTGCATGTTCAAGCATGGCTTTCTATCAGGAGCAAAAAACATTCTAAATGGAGTGCCATCATCTAGCAGGTCTTTCTGAAGAGCATCCCATTCGTTTACATATCATTATGTCAGCAAGAATGTGTTAGAATTGATGTTTAACATTGTCTAAAAGGCAAGGTACATAGAGAAGAGTTATTTTCTGCTTAAGGTGATAGCCGTATGAGAAGAGATAGATAGATAGATAGATAGATAGATAGATAGATAGATAGATAGATAGATAGATAGATAGATAAGATTTCTTTTTGTTCAAATGCAGGTTATCCATCTGAGGCTCAAGGGCTTTCTTTCTTGGTCTCCCTCTAGGGGCTACGAAATCCAGCTTGCTCTCAGCACCCAGTATAGTCAGCATGTTTGTACCAGCACCAGAAGATTTTGCTGATGACCAGCCCACAGTGATGGCGGACAAGTAAGCACTTGTATATTTCTTTAAATAACTTTGGTGTTTGAGACAAACTACAGACAGAAAGAGCTGACTTGAATAAATGAGGCAAAGCCACCCCTAGCAATTAAAGTAATTAACTTTGGCCACCAAATGAGAAGGGAGCATTTACTGGAGGAGACCCTGATGCTGGGAAAGACTGAAGGTAACAGAAGAAGGGGACAGCAAAGGATGAGATGGTTAGACAGTGTTATCGATGCAACAAACATGAAATTAAGCAAACTCCGGAGCATGACAGAAGACAGGAGGGCCTGGCGTGATGTGGTCTATGGGGTTGCGAAGAGTCGGACTCGACTGTGTGACTGAACAACAACAAAGCAATAAAGTGAAATCTTCTGTCTGCTTCTGAAGACCCTTAGAGTTTTAAAACAATACTCAGTTGGGGATTAGATGCAAATGCCAATGAAGGGGGGGATTCTTAAATACAAGGGAGCTGAAAATGTAGTTTGTGTGTTACATTGGTGCAACAGTTGAAAAGCTTTTTGGAATAATTGGGCAATCGCATGAAATGTGCATCCTTACCTCTGTATGGATCCCATTATAATTCAGGAACAGAAAACCAGTGGAGGAATGAGGCCCGTAGCCAGGATTTTTTTAGTCGGGGGGCATTTAAATTTCTTAGGGGGCACTGGCTAATCAAATTAAAGAAATACCTGGCTCCTTCCCTGCATCTGCCACCACTTGGGGGCCCTGGGCTGGATGGGAAGTCATGGGGCCTTGCCAGAAAGTCGGGGGGCCGAGCTCCAAGATGCCATACTGTAGCTACCGGCCTGGGAGGAACGTTCCAATGTTGTTATACATTCTGTGCAATGTTCCCTCTAAGAGAGCCAGTTTAGTGTAGTGGTTAAGTGCGTGGACTCTAATCTGGGTGAACCGGGTTTGATTCCCCACTCCTCCACTTGCACTTGCTGGATGACCTTGGGCAAGCCATAGTCCTGGCGCAGCTGTTCTTGAAAAAGAGCAGTTTCTGTCAGAGTTCTCTCAGCCCCGCCTACTTCACAGGGCGTCTGTTGTGGGGAGGGGAAGGGAAAGGAGTTTGTAAGCCGCTCTGAGACTCCGAGTGAAGGGCAGGGTATAAATCCAATCTCTTCTTCTTCTTCTAAGCTGAGTTAGTGTGAGCTAGCCCACAGTTTTTTAGCCTCTGGCTCACACATTTTTGTCTTAGTTCAGAAAGGATGGCTCCAGAGCAAACTAATTTATCCAGTAGCCAAATTGCTCGCTCACAACTTTAATGCCAGTAGCTCACAAAGTAGAATTTTTGCTCACAAGACTCCACAGCTTAAAGGGAGCATTGATTCTGTGTTTGACATTATGACTTTGTTATACATAAGATTAAAAATGAAAGTGAGACTTGATATATTCAATAGAGTGACACCACCACCTATGTGGTCCTCCAGTAGTTATATCTCCCTTGCCCCCTTGATTTACCCATTTAGAAAGGTGGTGCTGGCTCTGGGGAAATCCTCACCCATCATTTGCAGGGAGATATATTTGAATTCTGTCTGCAATATCTGTTAGGACTCCTTCATAGGGCTCAGATCCTGCAAAGGAAAAGGTATCATGAATGTCTGACTGGTAGTAGCTGTGGATGAAATGAAATGGGTTGTTGTCACCCACCAGTAGAAAAGAAGTCTGGGCCACACCAGCAGTAGCCACAGAAAAGAAAATCAAGGTGTAGAAAAAACCCTTTCTATTCTTATTCCTTCTTGATCCCAACACACTTTGCCTATGGCTTCGTACTAACACTTGAGATGTGTTTGGAAACTTATGGTATAATATATCCCCTGACGAAGCCATAGGCGAAATGCGTTGGGATCAAGAAGGAATAATAATAAAAAGTTTTTTCCTACACCTTGATTTTCTTTTTTGTTGTCTCCCAAAAATGTAGTTATGCTCCCTGTTTCTCACAACTTGTGAGTCGGGTTACACTAGCATGATGATGCGGTAACATCACAATATTCTACTAGCATATCTGGGAGGAAGGACATTTTCTGCACTGTTCATACTTATCCCGTGCTCTCGATGGAAAAAACACTACTAGCAAAGAGTTGTTGAGTCGGTATGTAATAAATACCTGTTGCAGGGGTGTATGTGGGCAGAGGGTATTTGCAGCAGCCAAAGTTTGAGGTAGGGGAGCTCACTCCCTTGATTATCTATGTGCGGTACATTATCCATGTCCCAGTTGGACGAGTCACTACAAATAGATACAAGTTCTCATTTGTTTGGTTATACGAATAACTATACTTGATGCCCTGGCAAATATGTGGGTGGTATTCATATATAACACTCCCGACCAGAATTTATTTAGCACCACACGTACATGTTTTCAATCATATATACATTTAATTTTCTCTTAAAATAAAATACGTAATCAGTTTTTTTAAAAAAATGAAAAACATTCTGAAAGGTAGGTTTGTGGTGACACACATGTTAGCCAGTCGGCACTATGCTGCAAAGAGGAAGGATGGAGAGGGAGGCACAGCTCATAAGAACATAAGAGAAGCCAATGTTGGATCAGGCCAATGGCCTGTCCAGTCCAACACTCTGTCACACAGTGGCCAAAAATACCAGGTGCCATTAGGAGTTTCAGCAGTGGGGCCAGGACACTAGAAGCCCTCCCACTGTTGCCCCCCCCCAAGCACCAAGGATACAGAGCATCACTTGCCCCAGACTGAGTTCCTGTCTATACCTTGTAGCTAATAGCCACTGATGGACCTCTGCTCCATGTGTCTATTCAATTCCCTCTTGAAGTCATCCATGCTTGTAGCTGCCGCCACCACCTCCTGTTGCAGTAAATTCCATGTGTTAATCACTCTTTGGGTGAAGAAGTACTTGCTTTATTCTGTTCTAACCTGACTGCTCAGCAATTTCATTGAGTGCCCATGAGTTCTTGTATTGTAAGAAAGGGAGAAAAGTACTTCTTTCTCTACTTGCTCTATCCCATGCATAAACTTATAAACCTCGATCATGTCACCCCCTCAGCCGTCATTTGTCCAAGCTAAAGAGCCCCAAGAGTTTTAACCTTTCTTCATAGGGAAATTGTTCCAACCCTTTTATCATTCTAGTTGCCCTTTTCTGCACTTTTTTCAATGCTATAATATCCTTTTTAAGGTGTGGTGACCAGAACTGTGCACAGTACTCCAAATGAGGTCGCACCATTGATTTATATAGGGGCATTATGATATTGGCTGATTAGTTTTCAATTCCCTAATAATCCCTAGCATAGTGTTGGCCTTTTTATTGCAGTGGCACACTGTCTCAACATTTTCATTGAGTTATCTACTACAACTCCAAGATCTCTCTCTTGGTCAGTCTCTGCCAGTTCGGACCCCATCAACATGTATTTATAGTTAAGATTTTTGGCTCCAGTGTGCATCACTTTGCACTTGGCCACATTGAACCCCATTTGCCACGTTGATGCCCACTTACCCATCCTTGTGGGCAGAGGGTATTGGAGTGCCTCATAATCCTCTCTGGTTCTCACCACCCTGAACAACTTCATGTCATCTGCAAATTTAGCCACTTCACTGCTTACTCCCAACTCCAAATCATTAATAAACAAGTTAAAAAGCATCAGACCTAATAATGGTTTCCACCAATTTACCCGGTATCGACGTCAGACTGACTGGCCTGTAATTTCCCGGATCTCCTCTGGAACCCTTTTTAAAGATGGGAGTGACATTAGCTACCTTCCAGTCCTCAGGAATGGAGGCAGATTTTAAGGAAAGATTACATATCTTTGTCAGGAGATCTACAAGTTCACATTTGAGTTCTTTCAGAACTCTCGGATGTATGCCATCTGGGCCTGGTGATTTTTCAGTTTTTAAGTTGTCTATCAGTTTTAGGACCTCCTCTCTCGTCACCTCAATCTGACTCAGGTCTTTCAACACCCCTCCCGAAATCAGCAGTTCTGGAGTGGGCAAGCACTTCTCATCTTCCACAGTGAAGACAGAGGCAAAAAATGCATTTAGCTTCTCAGCCATTTCCCTATCATCCTTCAGTACTCCTTTTACCCCTTGGTCATCCAAGGGCCCCACTGCCTCCCTGGCTGGTTTCCTGCTTCTAATGTATTTGAAGAAAGATTTATTGTCGGTCTTTATGTTTTTTGAGGTATGCTCCTCATATTCCCCTTTTGCCTGCCTGATCACAGACTTGCATTTTATTTGCCACAGCCTGTGTTCCCTTTTATCAACCTCACTGAGACTAGCATTCCACCAGTGGCAGAGCATCTGCTGAGTGGCAGAGCATCTGTTTGGTATGCAGAAGGCAACTGATTCAATCCCCAGCATCTCCAGTTAAAAGATCAAGCAGTAGGTGATGTGAAAGATCTGAGACTGAGAGTCCTGAGACTCTGGAGAGCTGTGGCAAGCCTGAGTAGGCAATACTGACCTTGACAGACTATTGGTCTTATTCACTGCAAGAAAGCTTCATGCGTTCAACTGTGTCTTCTTAAACCCAGGGTTTGAAAGAAGATTGTTCATTTCACCAATACAAATGGGTCTGATTCCCCAGTGGCCCCACAGGTTAAGTGACACATGTTTAAGGGCAGCTTCAAACTGTTCTTTGCCCCAAGTTACATGACCTATAACATTTTTAGAACTATGCATCTTTGAGATGCTGCAGTTATATATTTCAATTCTGGCTTTACAGAAAAATGGCAATGGAATTAGATTACGAGCGCTTGGCAGAAATAGGAAACTTGAATCCTCTGGCATCTGGCCTTGAACGCTAACCATTAGGCTGGACCCCCAAAGTATACATAATACACTTACCCCTGATGGGTGAGCTGTTGCATAATTCTTTGATGGAGCTGGAAGAAGGAGCGCTTTGCTTTATTTTGGGGAGGTAAATGACAAATATCCTGTGTGATTAATTTATTTCAGCCTGTTGGTCTGGTTGTTTTCTAAAAGCTTTGGCAGCAGGTAGTGAAGTGGGCTAAATGAGATTGACTTTCATGACCTTGCTGGCATTTTCTCCTGCTGTTATGGAGAGGGAAGAGGAAAATTGCCTGTACAATCCCATTAAGTTCAAATATCTCAATCTGTTGGAGACATTAGCCAGTGGTTGATCAAATTAACCCAGCTTTCCCATTGGGCCATGATGTGCTGGTTTCCCAGGGTTGTTTGTCTCTTTATATGGCCTGGCGATACTCTGCCTCATCTCTCCTGCATCTGACATGTCCCTTAAGATCACGCATTAAAGAACCTTGGCACCGCTTCAGAAGTTGTCTCTTGACATTGTAGGAGCATCCAGAAGCAACCTGTGGGAATCGGAAGGAAACTTCTCAAGAAAGGAAGCTGAAACTTGTCTGCTTCCTCAGCATTCTATCGTTTACTCATTTTATGACTAGATCTCATTCTGTTGCTTGTAACTGTAATTGACTGAGGGATGCAATGGCATTTTGAATGCCAAGATCTGTTCTTCATATTTTTTTGCTTGCAGGTGTCATGACTGTGGAGCCATCCTGGAAGAGTATGATGAAGAAACTTTAGGTCTGGCCATAGTGGTTCTCTCCACATTTATTCACCTCAGCCCAGATCTGGCTGCTCCGTTGTTGCTGGATATCATGCAGTCAGTAGGGAGGTAACAATCCCTTCCTTCCTCCCTCCCTCCCTC